TAATTAGTAAAACTTTTATAATTAACTTGGAAAATCATAATAATTATTTTCCACCAAAATTCTTCTATTTCTCCTTATCCTTTCTGGCCCTTAAATGTTTAGGAATATTTTTATTCCTAATTACCATATTACTAGATGTCACACCTATCGTATCCTGCCAGACCTAAGAAACTTCTAACTTTTGTTATTGTTTTAGGTTGTTCCCAGTTTAGCACTACCTCCACTTTGCCGGGATGTATGACTACTCCATTTTGGGTAATCACATGTCCTAGAAATTTTACCTCCTTGAGCCAAAACTCATATTTACTGAGCTTGGCATACAACCATTTTTCTCTGAGTGTACTCAACATAGTATCAAATGTTGTCCATGTTCTTTCTATGATTTAGAATAAACTAGAATATCATCAATAAAAACCACAACAAAACGATCTAGGTACAAGCAGAAGATCTGATTCATGTAATCCATAAATATTACAGGCACATTTGTCAATCCAAACGGCATTACTAAAAGTTCATAATACCGATAATGAGTTCTTAATACAGTCTTTAGAATATCTTCTACTTTAATTCTTAGCTGATATCGCAATCTTAGGTCGATCTTAAAAAACATTGTAGCACCAGCTAATTGATCCAACAAATCATCAGTTTGGGGAAGTAGGTACTTGTTCTTAATGGTTACTTTGTTCAGTTCCCAATAAACAATGCACAGTCTCAAACTCCTATCTTTCTTTTTAATAAACAGTACGGAGCACCCTATGGAGACACACTATTTTGATGAAACCTTTCTCCCATCATTCTTCTATTTGCTTCTTTAACTCTACCATCTTATTAGGAGCCATCCTATATGGAGCCTTTAAAATTGGTTTAGTCTCGGGTACTAGGTCAATCGCAAATTCCACTTCTCTTTCTGGCAAAAGTCTATTGATCTCTTTTGAAAATACATCCAAAAAATCTCTTACTGTCAGTATTTCCTCTATCCCCTTTTCTATCTCTGCCTGCACCGAGAAAACCATTATGTACCCTTAGCAACCCTGTCTCAAATATCTCTCTATTGGGACATCTGATAAGTCTTATTATTTGTATATATTTCTAGTCCTAAGCTTATGCTTTTGCTATTCATAATTGCATATTTTGGGTATAATTAGCCTTTATTATGTGTAAGAGTTGGTGAGTAGAATTGTGAGGTTTTAGATGTGCTTTTATATGTGTGTGCTTCTAATCCCTTGGTTGGTATACATTACAGGTAGTTTTATCAACATCAGTGCCCATTCTATCTCAAGTGTTGTGGCATACTCTTCCTTTCATCTTGACAAACATACTTAATAAGGGACATAACTCATTAATCCAAATAGTGTCGTTTTGGTGAGCACCACGATGAACGTGATGGAGTACTGTGGCGGGCGATGAGAATTCCAATTTAAATACCAGAATCGCATGCTCGTTCTAGAAGTCCCATTTTCAAATTCTTTTAATCTAGATCTTACTTTCCTCATTCTCTCCACCCTTTCTTCATCCCGTCCACCATTCCACACTATTTCTAGCCACAATCCATCACTTTCCACTAATTATTCTCCATTTCTTCCAGAATCCGATCCATATCCATCTCTATTTCAATGATCAATGGCTATTGGAGGACCAGAGGCTTAGTTGAGTTGTTCTTCAGTCATGAGCCTTGATGATTAATGAAGCTATTTTTGAGTTTCTAAAGCCTAAAGGAAGTTTAGTTGTGTTTAATTTCAGTTTCTACTCCATATGCATGTTGATTGTAGTTCAATTGATATATGTATTGAGGATTAGTGCTGGTATGCCTGATCTAGACTCTAATTACTTGTATTGAATTTACCTTTAATGGATAATCAGTTGCCTTATAGTCCTATTGTCTATTGTAATTGATTGTTCATGTTCTTGAAGCTTCTAATTGAATGTGCTAGGTGTCTAGGTTTGGTTAAGAGCTAAGGAACCTCTGTGAGTCCAATATAAGCTAATTCCTAAGGTACTTTATCTAATTAACTAGTTAGGCGACTAACAATGTTAATCAGGTACTAAGAGTGTTGTCTTAGTAAGATGCAATTGAACTTAACACAAGTGAAACAAGAAAGTATAGCTAAGTCAACCATCAAGGAGATTCACTACATTCATCATCCATTCCTCAATAAAACTAGAAAATTATAAACAATAGTTACCGATTCTTAGTTTAGAAGGTTAAATCAATTCTGTCACTTTTCTTGGTTCATTTGTAATTAACATCTAGTTAGTTAGTAGTTTGTAATCGGCTCCTCAAGAGATCGACACTTAGGTTAATTGCCTTATAGTGCAATTAGCTTAGTTATTGTTTTGAGAGCCCTACGATATGGCTTTGTTAGCCTCGTTAATAAAATTCAATCTCACCTCCAGGCAAGGGACAATTTCCTTAGGAGGAAGAATTAAAGTTTTGCTTTTGCAGTCAAGGAGAACACTATTGGACGACAACCAATTTAGGCTAATTATCACATCAATATCATGGAACGACATACATATTAGGTCAAGAGTAGTACATTAATGTGAATACTAGACAATGCAATTTAAGCACACACTAGAAGTTACCGCTCTAGTACTAGTGAGAGTAAAAACACATAAATCATACGGCAATGTGTTAGCAGTAAGGCCTAATTGCCCAACATAATCATATGATATGAATGAATGGTTTGTACCTAAATCAAACATTACTTATACTATGTAATCATTTATACTAATCAAACCGATCATTTCGAATGACTTACAAGCCTTCTCCTGAGTAAGAAAAACACTCTGCCTTGAGTTTGCAGCCTAGAATTATCAATACCTTGTGGACACTCCCTCACAAAATGTCCAGGCTTCTCATAACGATAGCACAAATTCTAACTTATTATGCATGGCCGGTCTCTGGGGTTTTTTCCACAAATTTCACAAGTCATGGCCTATTTAAAGTGTCAGGTCCTCCTTAATGCATCCCTTTTTTTGGGTTTCTTATTAAAATTAAACTTTCTTTTCTTTCTATTGTTATAGGAAGATCCCTCGATCATCATCCTTGCTAGAGGTCTATCGACCCTTGCGTTTGCCCTAGTACGATTATAGTGACTTTGGCTTTGGCTACTCTTGGTGATTTGACAGGTTTCCACCGCTTTATTAAAATTCTCAATCTGCCTTAGGGCTACCTTTTCCCTTAGCTCTAGTTTCAAGCCCCTAATCATCTTCTTAGTGAACCACTATTCATCATTCACATGCTGCTAGTAAGTGAAGTATCGAGATAGCTTAATCTACCTCACTAAGTACTCATTAAAGGATTCATTTTTTGCTTGCCTTGCATTAGGTAATTTAGCTTCTTTCTTATCCCTTATTAAACATGAAAAGTACTTCAACTAAAATTGTTCCTTAAGGGATTCCTAAGTAATTGGTTTCCTATTAGCTTGGAGCACCAACTCTATGGTCTTCTACCACTTACTACCTTCTCCCCTTAATTTATAAATAGCCATCTAGGCTTTCCTCTCCATCAGACATTCTAGGACTTTGAAAATTTTCTTCAGCCACGTTATCTAGTCGTTGGCCACTTGCACATCAAGGATTCATTCAAAAGTAGGTGGATTATGCTTACAAAAATTCGTAATCCACTGTTGTAGACTTTTAGATTATACTACAGGTTGTGCCTGCTTACCTGTAGGTTCTGGAGGTTGGACTGTGTGGATTGCCCCAACTACTCCTAGTCTGGATTGTTATAATTGAGCTATAGTTGTTGCCACTATTGCTGCTATGGCAGCATCTCTCTCCTGTTCTTGTCGAGCTTTTTGTGCAAAACTCCAAATTCTATGAATTACCACTCATTTTAAAGCTAAAAATGAGATCTATTGATCTACCAAATTTCACGACTAAGCTCCTTCATTTGCTTAAAATTTCATATGGTTAAACTTTGATTGAACCATAATTCACAGCATATAGTAAATGTATTCACATAGGTTACAAGTCTCAATAGTCAACCAAACATCATTTCATAAATATTACAACATTTAGGCAAAAAGTTCATTATAATGTCATCAAAATACTATTCATGATGTAACCACCTCCTTGCCTTTGCTAGTACAACTTGTAGCCCCTGTTAGTGTTATTTAGACATAGAAAGGAATGAGATTTCATAGAAATCTCAGTAGCAAAGAATTATAATCATAATATTAATCAAGCAAGGTAAGTTACAAGTGAGTTCACCAAGCATCCACTAACTTTTATGCCATGCAAGATCATATTAAACCACTCTAAAGTCAATAAAGTAGTGCATCTTGCTAAGGCATACAATGCAACCAATCAAACACATTATCATCAAACAACTTCAATCACAAATATGGCACATATTCAAGGAAATGTACAAAGCAACAACTAAGCAAGATAACATTGTTAGTGGCAGTCTCACCCAAGAGGGGGTGAATTGGATGAGTTATAAAAATGTTGCTAATTAAAAAAATAGTAAGCTAAACAGAAATAGAGAGCGTAAGTTAGAGTGATTTCACCGCAGAGAGTAGACATAGAATTTATACCGGTTCAGTCTCAACCACTTGACCTACATCCAGTCCTTAAAGCACCTCTGAGTATTTCACTAAGTTCCAAGCTTAATCAGGCTCTTGGTGCCATAGTACAGCAAGTGATCGATAAACCCGTGATTGATCAGGTGATCAATCAATTTACCAAAACACAAATTACCTAATTTGTTATCATCAAAACCGTAAATCTAACATTCTCCCCCTTTTTGATGATGACAAAACACAGGTGTAAGATAAATTAGATTTTATCAAATAAAACTTAACCTAGATTAGGAATTCAACAGAATCATACGACAGATAACAGTATTCACTAGTAAATGTCAAAAAAATGGCAGAACTACAAAACTGATAACAATTAAATGCTATCAGAATTTAAATGATAACCCAGAATTTAGATTACATAACAGAAATATATGAAAAACAAAAATCATCAAAGCTAAACAACTGGGCAAACAACTAAACAGATTCCTTCTCCCCTTTTTTGTTAGTATCAGAAGGTGGGGAAGGCAAGGTGATTGAGATGGGAAGAGGGAGAAGCTGAATAAATGGAGAGACAATTTGAGGAATGGATGGAAGTAGCATAGAGGGAGTAGACTGAGGGACTGTGATAAGGGCTAAGGTAGGAGGAGGAGTGGGAGAGGTAGAAGGTATAGATGGTGAAGTAGAAATGGGAGAAGTGGGTATAGGTGAGATAGGTGGTGCAAGCTCATAGTGATCAGGAGATAGTGGGTGAGAGATCAGGTCTTCAAAACTGATGGAAGTGCTTGGTACAGAAAAATTGTTACAGTGAGAGGCCACCATCCCTTTTAGATCTCTGATTTCTCTTTCAACATGATTAAACCTCTGTGAGACTTTCTTTTCCAAAACTATCATGGCTTGGTGATGAAGATCTAGAATTTTGGTAATGCCATCAAATTTCTGATATGAAACTTCCCCATATTCTTTGGCCATGGTATATAGTCTTTTCTCAAACTCTTGTAGCTCATTTTGGAATAGATTCCGAATGGTGTTGCCATATATGAGGGGCCTGAGGTTTGAGAGGGTTCTGCAGAAGATTCAACTTCATCTTGGCCCTTTGAAGCATTGGTCATTGGATGTTTTCCTTTCTCTTTTCTTGCCAATTTCTGTGAAGACTGAAAGGGCACTAGAATCTTCATCTTATTGAGCTGGTTAATTCCAAAAGCAGCAATCTTTACTTTAACTTCTCCAAGCTCGAATGGTGCAATGTTGTTTACTTAGAGAAAGTATGTGGCCAGCTGAGGATAGGGAATGGGTATGGATTTAGATTTATTGATGGTGAAATCCTTTATCTCATTGTAGATCAAAGCTCCAATATTGATTTTCTCCCCACTGATTATCCTGGCTAACAGAAGGTAATCATCCTAATTAAGGTGGGAAAAGCTTCCAGATTTATTGACCATACTTCTTGAATAGATGTAGTAAATTATTCTATAATAATCACACATCTATTTAGGTGGGAAGTTCAGCTCTCCTGGGTAACTATCACTCTGCATCAAAATCTTATATGCTTTTATGTCATTCATATCCCTTCCTCTGATAGATTCAGGATTTCCTAGTAGCTCATTTATCTTAGTAGAAGTGAGGGTAATGGTTCTGCCTCTGAGTCGTGTTGTGAGATAATTATTCACCAAATTATCTTCCTCATCATACTCTTCCACAAATTCCATATTACAGTAAAATCTCTTAACCACTTCAAGGTAATATTCACAGCCAATACTCAGCCAGTTAGAATAATGTTCTAGAGGGTTACTCAAACTAATATGATTTGCTCATTCTTTTTCAAACTATCCAAATCTATTGAGACCACAGGACAAAACTTTTGAGTTGCAAAATCAGCTTTGAATCTCCCTTAGTTTACGTCCTTTTCTAAATTCCTAGCGAGAAATTCAGATGGTTCAGAGGGGATACCTTGGCTAAGGGCTTGGTGTGACGCACCCTCACTTGCTTTTTGTTTCCTCTGTCTTGGTTGCTTGGGGATAGGAACTCGTAATGCAACCTCCACAACTTTCTGAACTAAAGCTTCCTCATCAGATTCTATTTCAGAGTCCTCGGTAACCATTGATGGCTTGGATTTTGACTTTAGCTGTGGAGATTTTCTCTGAGGAGTAGGTTGCTTTTCGGTCTAACTTTCCTGAATCTTTAATACTCCTCTCTTCTCTGATGGTTCTTCCCTCACTTTTGGTCTGTATCTTTTCTTTGTAGTGTCTCGGGACTGGTTTTGTTTTTCAGTGCTTTCCTCTTGGTTGACATTCAATTGCTTAACTCTCACCATTCTTGTTGTATGGAAGGATTTTGAGGATTTGATTAGTGAAAAGAGTTTTTGAAGGGTGCGGAGGAGAATGAGGATGCTTCAAGAGTGATTTTCGAGTGGAAAGGGAATAGTAATTTAATAGAATAGTAAGTTTTGGACTGTTACGTGGGAACAAGGGAATGATTTATTGAGTTAGGGCTGTGATAACTGACAGGGGGTTTTCAAAAATTGGACGTTATAAACACTAAAATTATCAATCAAGTTATCAATCAATGAATAATTGATCATGTGTTTGATATATATGAAGAATACACAAGAACACTGAAGACAATTATCGATTAAGTTATCGAGCAATGAGTTATCGATCACGTTATCGATAAAAGTTAATGAGAGAAATGTGTACTTGGTCTGGTTTATCGATCATTTGATCGATTAACGGTTTATCGATAATTCTTACCATTTAACTCTGAAATCCTTGTTGCTCTTGATCGATGTGTTGATTGATGATTGACTTATCAATCAGCTTATCGATAACATTCGTTACAACTTCATTCTTTTGCTCCATATACCTTATTTAGTGATCAGTTGATCGATAAATCAATCCTTACTTACATTATGATTATCGATGTCCTCATCGATCATTCTATACTCTATTTGCCTCTGTTTTTCCTGTGAAATAACAGAGCTTCCTGCAAAACCAATTTCTATCCACTCTGATGCCTAAGTTAATCTTTTAATCATCAAAACATTAAATCTAAAGACTCAAATTAGAGAGATAATATGAGATTTCTTATAGCTTATTAGGATTTACCATTCCCATTTCTCTTCTGAAGTATTTGAACTTCTGTTGATTGAGAGGCTTTGTGAAAATGTCTACTGTTTGATATTTAGCGGGGATGAATTCTACTTTTACATCTTTCTTTTGAATATGATCCCAAATGAAATGATGTCGAACGTCAATGTGCTTAGTTCGGGCATGATGAACTAGATTCTTGGATAGATTTATTGTACTCGTGTTGTCACACAGAATTAGAATCTCTCTTAAGTTGATTCCCAAATCTTGTAGTTGTTGTTTTGACCATAGAATCTGAGCACAACAGCTGGCAGTGGCAACATATTCTGATTCTGTGGAGGAAATTGCCATAGTATTCTGCTTTTTACTTGACGACGAGACAAAGCATCCTCCGAGAAATTGACATTGACCACTGGTACTCTTTCTCTCTGTCTTATAACCTCCATGATTTGCATCGAGTATCCCATTAGATATTCTGCTCCCTTCTCCAGATACCAAATTCTCAAATTTTGTGTTCTGACAAGATATTTGAGAATTCTCTTGACGGCTTCTTCATGTGATTCCTTGGGGGCTGATTAATATCCTGCGCACATTCCCACACTGAGTTGAATATTTGGTCTGCTTGCCATAAGATAGAGTAATGACCTAATTATTCCTCTATACTTGGTTAGATTCATGTCCTTGCCCTTCTCGTCTGCGTCCAGTGAAATGGTTGAGCTCATAGGAGTTTTTACACTCTTGGCATTTTCTAATTCATATTTCTTTAGTAATTTCTCGAGATACTTTGTCTGGGATATGAATATGTCATTTTTCTTTTGCTTGATTTGCAATCCCAAAAAGAAGTTAAGTTCTCCCATCATCGACATTTCGAACTCACCTTGCATTAACTTAGCAAACTCTTGACAAAGATCCTCATTAGTAGCTCCGAATATAATACCATCCACGTAAATTTGAACAATCAAAAGTTCCTTTCTACTTCTTTTAATGAAAAGTGTAGCGTCTACTTTGCCTCTTTCAAAACCTTTTCTATCAGGAAATTGCTAAGGTGTTTGTACCAAGCTCTAGGAGCTTGTTTTAAACCATATAAAGCCTTTTTTTTTTAGTTTGTAAACATGATCAGGGAAGTTTGAGTCTTCGAAACCAGAAGGCTGTTCAATAAAAACTTCTTCTAAAATATAACTGTTCAAAAATGCACTTTTAACATCCATTTGATATATTTTGAAATCTTTTATGCAAGCAAAGGCCAAGAGTACTCGTATGGCCTCTAAGCTAGTTACTGGAGCATATATTTCCTCATAATCAATTCCTTCTTCTTGATTATAGCCTTTAGCTACTAGTTTTGCTTTGTTTCTAACGATTTGTGCGGATTCATCAAGCTTATTCTTGAATACCCATTTCGTGCCTATAACCAGATGGTCATTAGGTTTGGATACCAATTCCCAAACTTGATTTCTTTCAAATTGGTTCAGCTCTTCCTGCATTGCAACTATCCATAATTCATCGGATAAAGCCTCGTCAACATTGGTTGGTTCAATATGTGAGATAAAAGCAAAGAAGCGCACTTTATTGAACACTTGTCTCCGGGTTTTAACCCCTTCATTGACTTCACCAATGACTTGTTCTAAAGGATGATTTCTATTATGCCTCCAAGCCTTAGGCTGTTCTAAGTTTTCTTGTGAAAGAGGTTCATTTGAATCATCTTTGTTTTCTAAAAATTCTTCTAAAAGTACTTTATTTGAAGATTTGTTTAAATTCAATTTTTGAAAATTTTGAACGATCTCAACATCATCATCTAGAGGTTTTGAAATATGCTCAATTTCAGCAAACACGACATGTGTTGACTCTTCAATTATGAAAGTACGTTTGTTGAAAACTCTATAAGCTTTACTGAGATTAGAGAAACCGAGAAATAAACCTTTATCAGCTTTAGGATCAAATTTAACAAGATTCTCTTTGTTGTTGTTGTGAATGTAGCACTTACTCCTGAAGATCTTCAGATGAGCCAGGTTAGGCTTTCTTTCTTTGTATAGCTCATATGGAGTTTTCCCGAGCAGTGTTCTGATGTAAGCTCTATTAGAGATGTAGCAAGCCATGCTCATTGCTTCGGCCAAGAACACTTGTGAAATCCCTTTCTCATTCAGCATTGCTCTTGTCATTTCTGTGAGCACTCTGTTCTTTCGTTCAACAACTCTATTTTGTTAAGGAGTTCTTGAATCAATCCCATTGTTGTCACAGTAGTCTGTGAATTCGTTATTCCCGAGTTCTTCTCCGTGATCAAATCTAATAGACAAAATAGAAATACCTTTCTCATTTTGGACCTTTTTGGCAAAAACAATGAATGCATTAAATGAAACATCCAACCTCTCAAAGTATGCATTTGTAAGCGTTATGGTTCAAGTAGGTCAAAATACAAGCCTGTGGATTAAAAATTTCAACATAACTACTCAGATTACTATTCACTGTTTAAATTCAGATTTCAGGTCCAATTTTAAAAAATCATAACTAATTCTATAAAAATCGTATCTCCTTGTGTACACATCTGATAGGTCAAACTGGAGCTACAAACTCACTGCTCCATGACTTACGTTTTATCTCTTAACCTCTTTTTACTTTAATTCTTTCTATTTCTTTGGCATACATAAATTGAGTTTATGCTTTTCCAATCATCCTCATACATTTCTATTCCTCCCATAAACATTGTAATTAAATACATGGCATCATTGGCATCCATAACATAAATACATAATAGGAGAATTACACATTGAATAATAACATCATTCATTAATGTCAATAATTCTCCACTTTCTTCTCCTTGCCTCTTGTGCCATTATTGCCTACCATTGATTGACCTAAATGGTTAGTTAGGGAGGGGTGAGATTCAGGGAA